TCGTCTGCAAACAATACTATGCCGCATCTATCCTGCATGGCATATGGGAGATCATTAATGTAAACTAGGAATAAAAATGGACCGAGAATAGATCCTTGAGGTACACCCATTTGCACAAGTGACCCGTCAGACGTAGCGTTGCTAATCTTCACTTTCTGTATTCTATCAGATAGATAAGATTTTATTAAATTTAAAGCATTGTCTTTGACGCCATAAAAAGCAAGTTTTTTTAGCAATGTATTATGATCAACGCAATCAAAAGCCTTAGAAAGGTCACAAAAAACACCTATCACATCCATTTTGGTTTCCCATGCAGCAAATACGTGTCTAAGTAACTCTGCACCTGCGTCTGTAGTTGAACGACCTTTGGAAAAACCGAATTGACTATTGTGGATTAAATTATTTAAATTGAAATAACTGACAAGTTGCATAAGGATTATTTTTTCAAAAATTTTACTGAGTGCTGGGAGTATGGATATAGGTCTATAATTTATTGGGTCACTCCTATCTCCAGATTTAAAAAGCGGTATGATTTTACTAATTTTCATTATGTTAGGAAATTTACCTTCATCTATACATTTATTGAAAATAAAAGCAAGAGAGGGCGCAATAATTTCCATTATACTATCCAGTATTTTAACAGATATACCCCATAGATCCTCTGTTTTTTTATTATTAAGTTGTTTGAATATTTTCATTATTTCTACTGATGATGTATGTCTAAAGTTAAATACAGCTGATGACTTGCTAACATTGTCTGTTAGTAAAGTTTCAGCAGCAGACGGGGAAGATTTTAGAGCCTGTGTCGTAATTAATGGAATATTAGTAAAATAAGATTCGAATGTATGCGCGACCTCTGTGTCGGAATTTACCAATTTGTTATTAATATTTAAAGCTATTTTGCTATTTTGAAAATTATCTTTTCCAGTTTCGCTATTTATGACTTTCCAAGTGGCTTTTATTTTATCTTTAGATTTAGTTATTATTTTACCTAAATAGAGAGACTTAGCTGTATGACAAACCTTTTTAAATATTTTCGAATAAGATTTTACATGTTCATGAAATAAGGGATCGGATATATAGCTTCGTTTTTCGTAAAGTTCGTAAAGATTAGCCCTAGACTTATAAATACCAAACGTGGCCCAGTCACAAAACTTTGATTTTACACTAGTTGAAAATGTTTTTGTTTTAAATTCACTGCTAGCTTCATGTTCAATTAAATTAAAAATATGTTCACATACAATGTCCGGGTCATATTGAGGTACTATGACACTAGATATTTTATGTTCAATTTTATTTTTAAAACGTGCCAAATTCTTTTGTGTTATTTGTCTGCATGTAATTGTTTGAGTCCCTTTGGATCCCTTAGTTTCAATTATAACTTTTTGTCCGTAATGATCAGATCCAAGACAGTCGAAATTCATTTTCACCTTTACTTCACAATTACAAAAAACATTATCTATACAAGTGGCAGAATTTCCTGCGACCCTAGTGGGTTCTAAAAAAAGATTGTGCAAATTAAATGATTTAAATAAGTTAATCAATCTTAAGCTTATTGAGCATTCCGATAATAAATCAACATTAAAATCGCCACATACAAATAATGTTTTATTCCTCCGTGCGACTCGTCTCAATGCTTCCTCCATAGCCAGTTCAAAAGAATCAAAACAAGCCGATGGCGGACGATAAACGCAAATTATTATACAAGTAACTAATTCTACGCAAGATAGTTCAATTGTTTGCTCAATAGAAATATTTACAATGTCTTGACGGTTTTTATATTCTACATCATTTTTTAAAATAATAATTGACCCGCCATGAATGGCATTGTTCCTAGCAAAAAAACTAGCTATATTATAATGTTCAAAAGGACAAATTATTTCATATTGTTTAAGCCAATGTTCTGTCAGACATAACACCCGTACATTGTTAGATTCTAAGAAAAGACTTAATTCTAATTCTTTGCTGGAGAAGCCACGAATATTTTGATGAATAATGACCATATCCTGTGGCTTAACCAATGTCGTAGATGTTAGTTTAAATTAAAACATGTCACATTATTAGTATAATTACTAATATTACTAATTAAACCCGTTATACTACTTATAATGGGATCATAAATGTTATACGCTAGTAAACTAGCAATAGTCTTTTTTTGTTTTTTAGGAAGATAAAAATTACCTCCCGTCATAATAATGACATTTAATTTTTTTTTATACAACTTAGAATGACAAACAAGCTAACGGCCCACCTGATGGAAAGTGCTAACCGTCGCTTATAGACATGAGCAGTACCATGGACATAACAGAGTGTACCGTTTCGCCCATGATACCCCCATGCGTTGCCATTCCTGAGGACTCAGGTGTTATTCCTCTGTACCCAGTAAATTCACGCCATATCCCACCCTTCAAACCGAAACACAGCCATGCAAACACAACTGCTTCACGGTAGAAACACGAATAGGACAGAGGTGCTCAAGCAATCAACTTTTGTACAAAGTCTTTCTCTGGTAAATCCGATATCCAGCAGTGGACAGATACAGGCTGAAATTATGATAATAATGACATTTTAATTTCATAAATTCTCGCTGAACTTCGTATAAATATACCCTTTCTCTTTTCACCCTACATATTATTTCATACCAAAATCCCAACGTGAGCCGACAATTCGTAAACTTTACAAGGAATATGCGGTGTGTGAAGTTAATTAATTACACTGCTAATAACAACGGTCCCTAATGAACTATTTCTAAGAAGTTTGAAGGGTCAACTTTTGTGAGCATCATTTATAATTAGATAAACCTAAACCCGACCCGTCAACATTAACTAACTATGAGAAGTTGATACTGACACTATATTTTCTCTACTTACACAAGCTGAAATCGAAACTGTTAGCTTATTTTTAAGGGAGTCTTCTATCGCTCCTTCCTTTCCCGTGGGTGTCGTAAGAGACGACTAAGGGAACTTATTATGATCGAGGGATGGGCAGCAGTGGCCCTGTTAAAACATCATAAAAAGCCTAACTGTAGTTGCCAGCCCACCTGCCAAACTTGGCAGCTGCTGGCAAAACCCCTCTTTATAGGGAAGGCTTATATTCAGCAGTGGACTTTTAACGGCCGATATGCTATGGTATATGGTATTCTATCAATAAAATTGACCATTTTTCTCAAAGAGAGATGAGTCAAAAAGTGTAAAAATACTTATGCATTCTATCCTTGAGTAGCAAGAAGGCTTTTTTTTGTGTTGTTTGTCGACCCATGTCTCGTTACAATATAATATCGATTGACGCTCTCTTATACGAATGTCAATAACTCCGAATACTTCGATTTGATGTAGTGTATAACGGCAGCACATGGAATTATGTAGGTACTAGTACCTGATCCTCTAGCTCAGGAAACGTTTACCAGAGGGAGACTTTGTACCAAAGTCGTTTGCTTGGCCACTTCTGTCCCATTCGTGTTTCTAGCGAGAAGCAGTTGTGTTTGCATGGCTGTGTTTCGGTTTGAAGAGTGGGATATAGCAGTGAATTTACAGGGTACAGAGGAATAACACCTGATTGCTCAGAAATTGCAACGCATAAGGGGTATCATGGGCGAAACAGTATACTCTGTTATGTCCATGGTACTGCTCATGTCTACAGGCGACGGTTACCACTTTCCATCAGGTGGGCTGTCAGCTTGTTTGCCATTCTTGTCAGTAGTTGCCACGATTGGCAAGCGGTTTGGCAGCCGCAGTGAGGCCTTGGTGATGTTTAAAGAGCCATTAATTTCCCTCAGTCGCCTTAAACGACACCCACACCATCTGTACGTCGTTAGAAATTTTCACATTTATTTTATTAGTAGGATAATGGAATTTTATTATTTTGTGTAACTTTGCTTTGAATATTGACCTACATAGATTCTGTAATCGCTTACAATATTAGATGAGAAAGTCAATATGTTGTGAGCGAAGAAAAAATAACTTCGTAACGCCCTTGAATGCAGGTTATTGTACCAATGGGAATTCTACCCTAATAATTCCAGTTTATCCCATAAACACCATTTAATTGACTTATCCTCGCTAGGGCCAGGCGAAATTTTGTGGTTTATTGGATTTTGATTGGATTTTATTGTTGTCGGTGAATGGTGTTTTTGTTGGTATATTTACGTGCGTAATGTCTGATGTTTGAGGCATTTTGTCGATTTAGTATGCTCGTAAACTTACTGTTCACATTTAAATAGTTTTAAAATATGTCATAATCATCATCACCATCATCTAAACCATTATTTGTCTACTGCTGAATATAGTTCTCCCCCATAGACTGCCATAAGGAATGATCCAGAGACACTTTATGAGGTAATAAATAAAAAAAAAAATACAACCGAATTGAATTCGGTTGAAAATAAAAAGACTTAAGTATGATTGAATGAAAACTCTTTATTGTTAGATAGATAGATAATTTATTTACATTACTTACAGCACAAAAATAACAATACAAACATACACATTGTTCCATTCAAAGTACCTCCTTTTTTTTATACAACTTAGAATGGCAAATAAGCTGACAGCCCACCTGATGGAAAGTGGACTTCTATATGATTTTGTAGGGGACTTATTATTTATTTATTTATTACATCCACTGGGTGAGCCTTACAATCTTCCAATACGCTCACCCAGGAAAGCATGAGTACAATGACATATACAAAGGAATATTACACAAAAATAACGAAAAATAATGTAAAAAGATTTAACTCAAACAAAAAACGTCTGAACACAAATACTCTGTGGTCACTCGACGAAACTCCAGCATGTTGGAGGCAAATACATCCAATTGCGTATACTGGCTCAAAATATCATTGAGTAGCTTCAATGCAAGAGATAGGGGAGCTTGCTTAGCGAACTCTGTTCTTCGTAATGGGACATCGAATAAGTGCCATCGATGTGCTCGCACGTAGTTACTGGGCGCTCCTATTGATATTGATTCCAGTACAGTTTGGTTACATTATATGGTTTTGTCCACAGATATGGATCTTTGGAGACGTGTGGTGCTCGGTGTGGTTAGCAGTAGACGTCTGGATGTGCACTGCCTCCATCCTGAACCTGTGCGCTATCTCACTGGACCGCTACGTGGCCGTCACAAGGCCAGTCAGCTATCCTAGCATCATGAGCAGGAAGAGAGCAAAAGCGCTGATCGCTGGACTGTGGGTGCTGTCATTCGTGATCTGCTTCCCACCGCTGGTCGGATGGAAGGATAAGAAGGTAAACTTGAAGGCTTCTTATAAATTTGTTTGAAAGAAAGAAAAACAAAGAATTTTAAATATTTTTTCAATGCAGGAAAGAAAGAAAGGATAGAAAAATATTTATTTGGTACCTAAACAAATTTTCGACAAGTTACTTTTTTTTATTTTCGATTAACGATTTCATTCGCATTATTATTATTATGTCAGTTGTTAACTGTCCACTGGTGGACATAAGCTTTCCCCATAAGGGGAGTTTTGCCAGTAGTTGCCACGCTTGGAAGGCTGGGTGGCAACCGCAGTTAGGCTTTTAGAGGTGTTTTTAAATGGGACGCTGCTGCCCATCCCTCGCCTCTTACGACACCCACGAGAAAGGTAGGGGTGGCCCATTCTATGGCGGGACACACACAGCGACGGGTAAAAGGCGACTAAGGGAACTTAACGGTCAAGGAATAGGCAGCAGCGTCCCTCTTAAAATACCACTGAAAGCCTAACTGCGATTTCCAAGCGTGGCAACTACTAGCAAAACTCCACTTATGGGGAAGACTTATGTCCAACAGTGGACAGTTAACGGCTGAAATTATGAAGCATAAAATTAAATCCTTTGATTTCTATCACATTCATAATTTATACTATCAGAGCCGTATTTCTTAAAGGCTGATGAAGCGGAAACTAAAGATGGCTGGTCTCCAAATCCACCGTGCCCCTGGACCTGCGAGCTGACCAACGACGCCGGCTACGTGGTGTACTCGGCCCTCGGCTCCTTCTACATTCCCATGTTCGTGATGCTGTTCTTCTACTGGAGGATATACAAGGCCGCAGTGAGGACTACGAAGGCCATCAACCAGGGCTTCAGAACTACAAAAGGTACTTTTTCATTTTGCGTTCGCTCCATGGGTAAAAATATAATGTATACAAGGTGGAATTGAAATCGTTAGCATGTGAAGAGAGTATTATATCATTGAAAGTGAACACTTTCATCAATTAAAAATGGCTTGAAAAACGACATAAAATTTTGATCCTCCCATACAAATGCGACTCGTCCAGCTGTTGTATGAGATTCGAAATTTTTTGTAGTATTTAAATTATTCATTCAAATTTCATTCATATTTTAATTTCTATAGTAAACATAGATTCTTAATTTTACGTGTTTTATGTATAGTGTGTGCATGTCTCTCTCTCTGTCTCTCTTACTTTGTGTGCGTGCGTGTGCACGTGCGTATGCATGTGCGTGTACGTGCGTGTGAGCATGTGTGTGCGTGTGTGTGTGTGTGCGTGTGCGTGTGTGTGTGTGTGTGCGTGTGCGTGTGCGTGTGTGTGTATGTGTGCGTCAGTGTGTGTATAGATACCGTTATATACATAATTTTACACGCATATCACATGTCTATGTATTAATATAAATAGGAGAATTTATATAACTAGGAGCACTCATTTAATTTTTGTATGTATTTGCCTCTTCAGTCTTCTATGTTTATCTTTCGTTTCACTTTCATATTGACAAATGTTAATTATTGATTGTATTATATAAAATTCCAGGCAAAGGCATGGGCAGTCGTTTCGATGATAATCGACTAACCCTGAGGATACACAGGGGGCGCGGCTCTGCCAGGCCCCACGGCTCTCCACTGTCGACAGCATCCAACCACTCTACTAGTACCTCTCTCAGCGCATCTCCTGAGAGATTAAGAAGGTGAGCGTCACTCATTTGTCCTTTACTAAGCTCCCATTCACACAGAAATATAGCGCACTTTTTGGGAACAACAATTGACGGAATCGACAAACATAGTAAGTTTTAAATTATTAATGTACCGTAGGATTTTTAGAGGATGAAATATATATTACTATGTGTACGATTATGCATAGAATATGAAATAATTTATATTATATCATTTATTTATTTTTTTCAATATAAAAAAAATTTTTGTTGCATTACAGCACAGTAATACAACAATACGTCGTATGCTTTTTACAAAATTCGATTGTAACTGTAGCTATTAATTATTGTGCTTACATTTTATTGTATTGTATTATAAAATCTTTATTGTACATAATTTGTATTGGGCAAATCAAAGGAGTAAATATATAATGGCGGATTTATCCCATAAAGGACTTATCCATTTTATTTTGTTTATTTTTATTAAAGAAATCTTTTTTTTATTAAAGATAAAAAGACAATTAGAGGTTTTCACAAAAAAAGCAAGATTTAACTAATACACATGTACATCGCCAAAACATTTTCAAATATATGTAAAGAAATAATTAGCCTTAGTTTTTTTTTATTTAATTTCCTCATTATGCACCGGTTTTTTAATATTGAATATTCAAGAAACTTAATTTTTAATAACTCAATTCTTTTAAAAGACAATCACCTGCAATGCTCGTATTGAATCAAATGAATTGTAACTATTGCTACAAAATAACATTACAGATATATTATCAATATATGCGATACTACTTATTCGACAAGATTTATCCTGCTAACTTCGTGCGGTGTATTTTAGTATGAACGGGGCCTTATCTTGTTCAATCATTCCCTTTGAAATTCCTTAGCCTCGGTCGGAAATTAAAATTGACATAAAGTATTAGGTATTCAAATATCTATTTATAAAACCAAAATTTTGTATTTCCATTTCGGACCAATGTCTGTTGACTATTATCGTTTCTCAATTTAGTTGCTTCGTCCACATTGGTCGTATTTTTTTTTAATTTCGTTCTCTATTCCCGCCTCGATGATGATCTTAGATTACATAGATAGACTTTGTACAAAAGTCGATTGCTTGGGTACCTCTGTCCCATTCGTGTTTCAACTGTGAAGCAGTTGTGTTTGCAAATTGACCCGTTATTCTCGAAGCATTTGTATTTTTTTTTATACAACTTAGAAAGGCAAACAAGCTGACGGCCCACCTGATGGAAAGTGGTAACCGTCGCCTGAGCAGTACCATGGACATAACAGAATATACCATTTCGCCAATGATACCCTCCGCGCGTTGCTATTCGTGAGGACTCAGGTGTTATTCCTCTGTACCTTGTAAATTCACTGCCATATGCCACCCTTCAAACCGAAACATATAGCCATGCAAACACAATTGCTTCACGGTGGAAACACGAATGGGACAGAGGTACCCGAGCAAACGACTATTGTACAAAGCCTCCCTTTGGTATAATAATGTAGGCTTAATTACTGGTTACCACGCCATATATTAATTTTTCACAAGACAATAAAATAAATTTATTTATTTAAACCAAAATAACATAAAAAGGTGTTGTGAATAAACATATACCTAGGTAAGCTTGAAATTATCTGCATAATCTCTAATCTAATATATAAAATTCTCGTGTCACAGTGTTTGTCACCATACTCCTCCGAAACGGCTTTACCGATGTTTATGAAATTCTGTGTCCATATCGTGTAGGTCTGAGTATCGGCCAACATCTATTTTTCATACCCCTCAATGATAAGTGTGACCCACCCCTAAATTTGTTTTTTTTATTTTTATTTTATTATGATTTGGCATTGAAAAATACAATACAATTTCAAATTTTCACCCTTTTACGATCAACCCCTGTTTTTAATCACGATTTTTATACGCTGCAATAGTGTTGCAAGATGACAATCGAATATAATAATTGTAGTACGATAAATTTTCATGAATAGTTCTAGAAATAATGTATATGGTAAAACAACGTTTGCCGAGTCAGCTAGTAATTATATATATATAGATTTATTCGTAATGCTAATAAGAGAATGAATATGAAATATCTTCGTTCACGCTTGGAAAACTTCGTTCCAAGTAACAATTTTGATTGCACTCTTGTTCTTACTAATTAATTTTTAACTTTATTACCTATCTTGTAGTAACATTGGCAGCTGTTGCAAGGACTTTTTCGTATTTTACGCGGCCGACTGACTTTAATGTCACGTTTTAATTCAAATGTTATCTTTATTTCTTAAAGTATTAATTTTGCATTTTATATGTTATGCTTTTAACGCTAACCCTACTAATACTCCCTGTCAGGTCGACCTCCTCGTGGTTCCCCCTAGAAACCATCGTAATTGATTTATTGTTAGATACTTGGCCACAACAGAATATCACTATTTTGCTCTTTTTAGGGCAAAGCAAAAAGCTGAGTTGTGGCCATTTTGTATTACTGTGGCACACGCATGAAGAAAAAATAATTGTTACCAACAATTTTTTTTGTCTCCATCCAAAAGTTGCCTGGAAGAGATCGCTTTTAGCGATAAGGTCGCCCATTGTTTTCTCACTGTGATTATTTCTTGTAATTGTTTATGTTTATAATAAGTTCACTATTGTAATCTTTTGGAGGAAACAATAAAGAGTATCTATCTATCTATTTTACTCAACTTACCATCCTTCTCACCGTCATCCCAATTCCAGACACTCGAGCGCGCGTCGAGCACACGAAAAGGTCAAAATATCCGTGTCGTACCCGTCCTCCGAGCAAATATGTCCGACGATAGAGAACTCCCGCTCGCCGAGCCCCTCACTATACGCGGTCCACTACGAAAGGGACGGCAGGGAGCTGACGGAGAGCAGGCTGAGGGTGCGACCGTCTCATCACCTGACGCCCACCTGCTACGACGAATACGACGACAAGCCTCGAGCGACGAGGCGGATGGGCAAAAGGAATATTAAAGCACAGGTGATTATGAGACTCTGTCATTTATTACACTAGTTGTATACCGTGGCTTCACACTATGGAATGGAATGGCAACGCACGGGAGTGTATCATGGGCAAAACAGTATACTCTGTTATGGAACTGCTCATGTCTATAGGGAGGGAGACTTTGTACAAAAGTTTTTTGCTTGGACACCTCTGTCCTATTCGTGTTTCTACCGTGAAGCAGTTATGTTTGCATGGCTGTGTTTCAGTTTGAAGGGTGGGATATGGCGTGAATTTACAGGGTACAGAGGAATAACACCTGAGTCCTCAGTAATGGCAACGCATGGGGGGTATCATGGGCGAAACAGTATACTCTGTTATGTCCTTGGCACTGCTCATGTCTATAGGCGACGGTTACCACTTTCCATCAGGTGGGCTGTCAGCTTATTTGCCATCATTCATATGTCGTATATTATATCTAAATATTTGATTATAAAACGATGCCCAGCGTAGGTGCAAACTGTTTTTTATGGGACATAATTTTTTATTATTATAAAACTCTGATGTAACCAGATTACAGCTAAGGTCGCCCTGCACTACATTCTTGTATCACTCTATACGGGACATCGCCGCCAATCTCCTTCACAAGTACACACATAAAAGAAAATGTCAAATCCGTCCACTGCGTGTTATCACGTCCTTCCGTATCGTATTATCTGTACGTTTACGAACGGACAGCATTTCATTTTTATTTATATAGATTAAATATGACACATAAGACGGGCGGACTTCCGGGGAAATTCTTTTCCGGGAAAAAATAGGTACACAAAGTTATATTTTCGTAGTTACGATCGGAGACGAGAGTTGTGTGCGTGTATGTATGTATGTATGGAGTGCCCTGGTATTATTTACCAACTTCAATAATTTAAAATTTCGTTCTTCAAAAGAAACGGACTTCATTTGTGGCAAAACCGTTTATATTGATTTAAAAATAAATGGTTTTGCCACTAATTGTTTTTATGTTTGTCACCTCATAAGTCCGTCAGTTATAAACCGATTTGGATATTTATTTCTATACATACATACATACATACATATCTGTCACGCCTGTCTCCCATTAGGGTAGACAGAATGGAACGCCAAATGCTTCGATTCAAACAAACCTCTTTCGCTTCTTCCACATTCACCAATCTTTTCATACACGCTCGCCGGTTACGGGTACTTTTAATTTGGCCCTTCTTCAGCACGTCGCGTATTTATTTCTAATTGAAAAGATATACATATAGATTGGTAACTTGGAAAGTTTATCGAAATCGGTTCAGTGGTTAATTATTAATAGTGGCAAACTAGTCAAAAAAATTACATAGGAATGGAAAAGAGTAACTACAGTGAAGGAAAATGTGATTTGACTTGTCCTTTAAACGACGCCAAGGACTGAGCGCTCCGTATAGACGGTGGCAGCGAGTTCCATAGGCGCACTGCCTGAACGGAAAAGGATTTGGTGTAATACACGGAGGTATGTGCTGGAATTTTTAAACGGAGACTATTTGAGGTACGCGAAGCGTGTATATATGTAAATTATTTTGTGTTGTATTTATTTTATAAAATAATTGTCTTTTCTTTCTAATTGACTTTCTTATCGTTAACAAATGACAAATATATCAACAAACTAATATTTATTACATGACTGTAAGTAGTATGGCTGTTATTATTATTGCTGAAAAACAAGCTTTTTTCAGGCAGAAAAACCTGTGACACTGCGACCTTTCCATGATCTTTTGTACTCGCATTTTTTTTAAAAAATCGCTGCTGATTCCTATCAATGATAGGAATTTCAAGGTGTACTTTGTAGCGATGTTTTTTACTCCTCAGAAAATGAAGTGAATTTTTCAAAAAAAAAAAATAATAAACACTCCAAACTAATAATAAATCATAAAAGAAAATATGACATCGACAGGGAGTTCACCCTCATACCTTACAGCCTAAATGGTCGCGTACAACGCCGTTTCAGAGACGTTTTCCCCCACGAACACTCAGGTTATGGAATGAGCTCCCTGCCGAGGCTTTCCCAAGAGACTACAGCATGGGGTTCTTCAAAAGGGGAGTAAAGAGGTTTCTTCAGGGTCGGCAACGCGCGCGTAATACCTCTGGTATTGCAGGCGTTCATAGGCTACGGTAACCGCTTACCATCAGGTGGGCCGTATGCTTGTTTGCCACCTCAGTGGTATAAAAAAAATATATGAAACTAAGCCTATTATTTTATTCTTTATTTTGTTTAACAAATAAATCTGTCAGCATTCGCGCTGTTCTTTCCTTCGACCTTGTTGTAGGAACTACGAAAGGGTGTCGAAAATGATACATCATCATGTGATAAAGCTGGTTGGTGGACAACCAGCTGGTGGTACTCAATGCGGCGATTTTTAGCGATAAGACCGCCTATCTATTGCCTATTTATCTTACTTTGGTTTAAGTTTTATTAATATTATACATTTTGTTTGTGCACATATTGTTAATCTTTATAACTAGTACCATTTGTAATGGATAAACTCAATAAACTCCATATTTTTTAAAAAAAAATCACATCTTCCCTCTTAAGGAGAGAAGATGGCAAACTGATCCCCGGCAGAAGCATTATTATTATTATTTTCGAACTCTGAAGCAACAAAAACGCCTATACGTACGTACAAAATCGCCTACGATTGTGAGCACGTATAATTGAGACCGCCTCTTGTGAGGTGCTGCATTCGACAGACACTGCTGGTCGACTTTGAAACAGATCAGCAGAAGAATATTTTGGATCTACCTTTTAATAAATTTAAAACTATTATTAAAAAAAATATTTATTGAAAAAAAAAACTATTTACACTCTAAACGATTACTTGAATGACAAGCGTGCATGGTGTTAGTCGATCATGCGCGGGCTTTTAACGACCATGTAATTTTAGACATAGTACATTTAAATATTTTATCATATATATATTTTTTTTTTACTTTTATTCTAATTTCAAAATAAAATAGTAATGTTATTATACAATTTCTATGTTGTGTTGTCATATGTAACGTGTATAATTTATATTATTTTCTTAAAAACAGATTGTATCTAATTAATATCTTCAAAAGGGGGGTAAAGAGGTTTCTTCAGGGTCGGCAACGCGCGCGTAATACCTCTGGTATTGCAGGCGTTCATAGGCTACGGTAACCATTTGCCACCTCAGTGGTATAAAAAAAATTATTTAAGTGAAAAGTTTGTTTAGTGTATATGTAAATAAATAAAAATAAATAAATAAATACACATAATGTTAAATACACATAAAGAGATTTAAAAGAGTAACTGTTGAGTTTCTTGCGGGCTCTTCTCAACAGATAACAACTTAGCGAACTTTGCAGTAGATTTAAAAAGAAATGACGATTTTTTTGATGGGTGAAAATGGTATGTTAACCCCGCCTGCGCTAACGGGATACGCTGGCGGAGCACCAGTGAAGGTTGATAGATGAGAATGAAAACAGGCCAGTTAGCCCATCATGATGAATTCATCAGAAATTAACCATGGTAGTTTCCAGGGGGAACCGCGAGGAGGTCGACCTGGTTGGGTATATTGCTAGCAATGGGATTCTCAGTCTCCATTACTAACAATCCCTTTCCCCTCAAAAATGACGATTTAAAAGTGCTTGTAAACAGGTGTATACATACATACTACATACAAATTCAAATCACCTGGCTGTGGTACATAAGTACACAAGTGTGGCTGTGGTAAACATTACAATCATATTACTGTCCCGAGAATGGTACTTTACAGGACGCCTTATTGATTTACCATTACGCGGTCTATACACTTCGTTCCCATCTAACTTGTGGAATACTCACTACCCGCCCGACTTCGCATGGTTTTTTAACCAACTTCAAAAAGAACGAGGTATTCAATTTAAGATTTTTTATGTTTGATACACCATATCTCCGTTAGTTCTAAACCGATTTGGAAAATTCTTTATTTATCTAAAAGAATATACTTGCAGTTTGTTTCTATAAAAAATGTATCAAAATCGGTCGAGTAGTTTAGTTTTTAAATCAAAATATATTGGTTTTGTCACGACTGAAGTCGGTTCTTTTTTTTTATACAACTTACAATGGCAAACAAACTGACGGCCCACCTGATGGAAAGTGGTAACCGTCGCCTATACACATGAGCAGTACCATGGACATACCAGAGTATACTGTTTCGCTCACGATACCCCCCATGCGTTGCCATTCCTGAGGACTCAGGTGTTATTCCTCTGTACTCTGTAAATTCACGCCATATCCCACTCAAACTAAACCGAAACACAGCCATGCAAACACAACTTCTTCACGGTAGAAACACGAATGGGACAGAGGTACCCAAGCAATCGACTTTTGTACAAAGTCTCCCTCTTTAGTATAAAGTATTTAAATAACATATTTAAGTAAAAGTGTATGTTACTTAGGACTGTAACTGTTGGAGTTTTAATACTGGCTGTTGATACTGAGGTTTTATAGAACAATGTATTTGTAAGTATGTAAGTGTTTGTTCTATGTCAGATTTTTATAAGACATGTCTTGTACTTTTTGACTAAACTTATTATTATTTTATATCTCAAATACATATATGTTATATTACTGCATTCTACTATTTACAACAGGAACATATTGTGTTTAGCTTCGCAAAAATTAACGAACGATAACTGTAATAATCACAAAATTCATATAAAATCAACACTGGAGCAAAACCTGTCGATTGCAATAAAAAAAATTGGGGGGAAAGGGATTGTTAGTAATGGAGTTTGACAGCCCCATTGCTAGCAATATGCCTTATTAGGTCGACCTCCAAGTGGTTCCCCCTGGAAACCATCGTGAACAATTCTTGTTGAATTCGTCACGATGGGCTAACTGACCTACTTCATCCTCACCTATCACCCATCACTGGTGCCCCGCCGGTGTATACCGATAGCGCGGGTGGGGTTGCCATTCCATTATCATCCATTAAAAAAAAATAAAAAAAATTATATGAAAATCGCTTCACAATTCGACGCAATCGCATAAAAATTTCACAAAAAAAACACAGACAAATCGAGAGTTTTCTTCTTTTGGAAGATTCTTAAATAAAAAGAACTGAATAACATCATCCATTCAACGCTAAAAACAACTTTGAGGAAAACTCCTTTAATTATGACGACGCGAAAAAAAAAATGAATAAATACATTGAGAGACAAATGAGTGGCCATAAAGGAATTTATCGTATCTCTTAAGGAGATTACGACGAGAAAAATGAATCGCACGGAACCCCAATAAGAAATTACCTTACGCTTTTGAGACTGTAGCAATATCTGTGATTAAAACAAATACCTTTGGTATTTTTATTTTTGTTTATACGCTGTTGAACGGCCCTTGGGCATTGTGCGCTTTCGAGGAAGCTGTTTAGAGAAAACGCCTTTAAAATTAATGAAAATATTTATAGAAAATTGTATCTATTTATTTATTTATTTATTTAACACTTTATTGCACCAACATAACATGATTTGTTAAAACAATTTTCAATACGTATAGTGTAGTACAAAAGGCGGTCTTATCGCTAAGCAATCTCTTCCAGACAACCTTTGGGTAGAAATAATTAAAGCATAAGTAGGTAGGTGGCGCGTTAAAAAAGATAGATTTGTAAAAAATTATATCTGTGACAGCATAGTCATATACATATACATACATAAATAAACACATACAACCAAACATATACATATATATATATACATACACATACACATATAAATATATATACATACATATACATATATACGCGTAAATACATAGAAATATACCATATTAATACACACATATATAACACACATAAAACTGGAAATATCTATTTATTTATCAACTGGATTAAAATGTAAATTTTTCCACTAGTAAGCCATGTCGGAGTCCTTAGTTAAGGTGGCGGCCTAGAAACACTTGACACTACTGTGTACGCCACTCACACTAATGAATGATAATTCTAGCTTTTACCTGCAATTTCGCTCGCGTGACTGGGGTATGTCAGTAAACCAGGATAGATAGTTTTTTTTATACAACTTTGAATGGCAAACAAGCTGACGGTCCACCTGATGGAAAGTGGTAACCGTCGCCTATAGACATGAGCAGTACCATGGACATAACAGAGTGCACTGTTTCGCCCATGATAGCCCCCATGCGTTACTATTCCTGAGGACTATCTATGTCCTTCTCCATCCCATATAATTCGGGTATATCATATTTCATGAAGATTGGATGACAGTTATGACGCCAAAAGGTAACAAACAAACAAACAAACCCACTTTCACATCTAATGCTCAAAAAATTCTTTACCGATTTTAGAAAACTTATTTCACCAAGTAAATTGTATTGTGAATGAATAATAACACGAGATTTGAAAATATTTCATTTTCAAAAAATCGCTTGAAGCTGAAGCAAGTTCCTAGTTTATAAACTATTATCGATCTAAATTTGACGTTCATAAGCGGCTAAAATGTCCTACATGAATAAATGATTTTTGAATTTTGAATTTTTTTTTGAATTTTGAATCCGACTTCGTACGTTAGATAGAATTTCCAAAAATAATATCTCTATTTTATTACTATTATACTCTCTAATAATGTAGCTCAAGTGTAGTTAAGTTTTTTTTTTATAGATGAACATTTAATGATTCCCAACATGCGCTATCAGTATACACTGGCGGGGCACCAGTGAGAGATGAGAAGTGAGAATGAAGACAAGTCATTTAGCCCATCGGGACGATATTTCCAGAGGGAACCGCGTGGAAGTCAACCTGTTAGGGTATACTGATAGCAATGGGGACTAACCTCCTTACTACTAACGATCCCTTCCCCCCCTATACTGATGCTTTCCTGGGCGAGCGTATTGGGAGACTGCAAAGCTCATCCAGTTGATTAAATAAATAAATAAGTATAGACCAATATTTATTTTGACCGTGTGGTCCCGGCATAGAATAGGCCACCCCTTGCTTTCCCGCGATTGTCGTAAGAGACAACTAGGGGAGTGCGAGGGATGGACAGCAACGTCCCTCTTAAAACATCTCTAAAGCCTAACCTCGGTTGCTAATTCGCCTGCCAAGCGTGGCAGGCGAATTAGCAACCGTGGCCATTAAGAGCTGATATGATGATGATGAAGAATTTTCTATTTTCTTCCAGGTAAAACGGTTCCGAATGGAGACGAAGGCAGCTAAAACCCTTGGCATCATCGTCGGTGGTTTCGTCTTCTGCTGGTTGCCATTCTTCAGCGTGTACGTCGTGAGAGCCTTCTGCGGGGAGTGTGTCACACCGATAGTCTTCTCTGTTCTCTTCTGGCTGGGCTACTGCAATTCTGCTATCAACCCTCTCATCTATGCACTCTTTTCTAAGGATTTCAGGTAATTTTTTATACTTTTGTCAGAATTAATTAAGAAATAGTCCAATTAATGGTAAATTAATAAGTAAGATGGTGTGTGTGATGAGACAAGATGTGTTTCGGTTTAAAGGGTGAGATATGGCGTGAATTTACTGAGTACGAAGGAATAACACCTGAGTCCTCAGAAATGACAACGTATGGGGGGTATCATGGGCGAAACAGTATACTCTGTTATGTCCATGGTACTACTCATGTCTTTAGGCGACGGTCACCACTTTCCATCAGGTGGGCCGCCAGCTTGTTTGATTGAAAAAAAATTAAGAAAAGATCTTGAGTCTGAGTGCTCAGAAATTACCTGCTATATCTCAATATTCAAACTGGATCATAGTAAATAAGCAAGTGCTTGACTTGCATCACTGGGTACTGCGACTCAAAATCTACATCACGAAAACCAGCCACGTGCCAATTATTCCATATTACTAATATATCTTTAAGGTTCGTAGTGGATGGTTGATGGATAGGTAAGAATGAAAAACTGACCTACAGTTACCCCATTGTGATGGATTCGACAAGAATTTATCACGATGGTTCTCGGAAAATCTGATGGAGGCCAACCTGATAGAATACATTGCTAGCAATGCGCAATAATGTCTTCATTACTAACAATCGCTCTCCCCCATTATTTTGGAGGTTACCCTATTAGTTTTGGTCTCGATATTTCTTATTCATGAACGCGTCTCATGTACTCTTATGGTCTCACATAAATTGTCGCATAGTAAGGTTGGAAACATCCGTCAGTGGCGACTGAACAGTGTGGTTGTTCGGATGTCTCTCTCCTTCTCTACGTCATCGATATATGTGTGTGAAAAACATCCAATAAGCCAGATCGAACTCGGATCTCTCAAAGAAGATCGAAGGTCACGTCTGTGATTTAGGACTGCTAGTTACAGTGCATTGTAAATGTATTATTCTAATCGCGTCTATCAGTCGCGACTGAGGTATACATCCGATGGTTTTTTTAATAATGAAGATGAAATGGTAACCCCACCTGCGCTAACGGTATATGCTGACGGGATACCAATGAGTATGAGAGAGTATGCATTTACCATCAGCATGTAATGCCCATCGTGATGAATACACTTGGAATGGAGTACGACGGTTTCCAGAGGGAACCACGAGGAGGACGACCTAACAGGATGTATTGCTAGTAATGGGACTACTAATCCCCATTTCTAACAATCCCTTATCCCCCTACAATTGATAGTGTGTTTTTACTTTAGCTATTAACATGGTGTTAACAGGTTCGCATTCAAGCGTATAATCTGCAAGTGTTTCTGCGCCGGCGGTGGTCCTCGGCGCGAGTCAGACGGGGACGGTTCGCGGCGCGCGCGCCCCACGCACTCACACTCACTGGACGAGCACGACGTCAATATAGCAGCCGCTACTGCTCCGGCCGCCACTACCGCTGCGGAAAGGTCAGTTCGGAATCTGTTAATGCTCGCCAATTGGACGGGGGTAAGTCAGACTTACACTTATTGGACGAGCACAAGGTCAACGTTCTGCCACCACTGCGCTGACCACCACTAGTGCTACTAGCAGGTAAACATTTGTTATATCAATCAGATGGAGGTAAGTGAGGCTCACACTTATTAGACGAGCATAAGGTCAACGTTCTGCCACCACTGCGCTGACCACCACTAGTGCTACTAGCAGGTAAACATTTGTTATATCAATCAGATGGAGGTAAGTGAGGCTCACACTTATTAGACGAGCATAAGGTCAACGCCCTGCCACCTCTGCGCCGAGCACCAATAATGTAACTAAAAGGTAAACATCTGTTACTTCATGTTCGCCTATTGTACGGGGGAAAATCTCACACTTATTGGACAAGCATAAGGTCAACGCGCCCACCGTCGCCACACTGATTGGCACTATTGTTGCAGAAAAATAAGCATTTGGTATTTTATGCTTGCCAATTAGACGGGTATATTTCACACTCACACTAATTGGACGAGCGCGATGTTGACTTCGCAATAAAATTTTATCAGATTACGGCGACGTTTTTTTATATCTCTAATTCGTAATTATTATCTCATTAACGGCACGCGTAAGAGATAAAAAACCTGATAAATAAAAATTAAACTTTATTTATTAAAGGTGGGTAATATATAACAACATCTATATATTTATATATAATATATAACACCAGAGGGAGACTTTGTACAAAAGTCGATTGCTTGGGTACCTCTGTCCCATTCGTGTTTCAACCGTGAAGCAGTTGTGTTTGCATGGCTGTGTTTCGGTTTGAAGGGTGGGATATGGCGTGAATTTACTGGGTACAGAGGAATAACACCTGAGTCCTCAGGAATGGCAACGCATGGAGGGTATCATGGGCGAAACAGTATACTCTGTTATGTCCATGGTACTGCTCATGTCTATAGGCGACGGTTACACTTTCCACCAGGTGGGCCGTCAGTTTGTTTGCAATTCTATGTTGAATAAAAAAAAAATTGTAGTCACAATATCTATACATATATTGGCCCAATAACAAAGAGAGAGAGAGAGAAAAAAAAAACAGTAAATTAATAATAAATGTATTTCTTCTTAGGTGACGTCTAACAATGCGACGGCAGAACCCGCAGTTCCAGTCAACCGTCGCATGTGTTTAGCGAGAATTTCACACCTGTTACAAGTGTATAGCAAGAAGTAGCAGCATCGTTATAACGGTTATTTACAAATTAGAACTAACGTTTTTTATGGTAAAAAAAAAAAAAACTGTTCGTCAATGATGTTGTTTGTAATAAATTAACGTTGCACATTAAAGATTTAACAAAATTTAGATTCACTATAATTGAATTGATGTGCATATAGGAATTTGTAAATTCAATTTTTAATATGAGTACTTTTCTGCAATATACTTACGCTTATCGAATGAATATTCCAATAAGTTTATTACTTTTGCCCAATTATCCAAAAAGGAAATGTTTTTTCCGGTTTATAATATATGTATAACTGTTTTTTTATACTTGGCATATTTAGTAAATATTATTACCTTATCATTTTTTAAGTTTAAGATTTTAAAAATAACATAAATAATATTTAAAATGAATCAATTAACAATGTTATTTTGAATAGCTGCTTATTTCATACACTATTCATATTATTAATTCGATACAAAACATACCAAATATATTTGCGCGCTAAATATGCCGAATAGAAAGACCTTTAGTACGATATGCCTAATCAACTTGATAGATTGTAATGAATGGTATAATTGTTAGAAAGACTTAATAATTATTAGATTTTTTTTTAATTCTGAAATCGATTTTACGACAAAATAATGATTATCATCGTAAAATAAATACGATGACCGTAAACTGTTCAATAATTATATTTTTACGATCTCATCAAATTCGTCTATTTATTTTAATAATGACTAGTCATTATTCACGACATCATCCTTGAAACTAGGATATGTGTATAGAACGGTATAAGAAATAGCCTATACCTTTTTCCATCACAAACCTTGAAATATATATAATTTTATAATAATTGGTTAAAGTGTTAAGGCGTCAAAACGTAACAAAACGTAACAAACAAACTTTCATATTTATAATATTAGTAAAGATATGTGTGTAGGTACGTTTTGTTTACAATGTGTATGTAATATTTTCCATATTTCAGTTTAATAATCATGAATCACCTAATCCTAAATTAACTGTAACAGTTAATCATAATCACTCAATAGTTAGTTAATATAGTTACTAGTTATTGTGAACACATAAATTATCCGAAAAGTACTTATATTTTAATTTTATTATTTATTGATAAGTGAATTATTTATTGAAAAGACTGTCTAAACTAAATCATAACATTACAATGTATTATATTAGATAGTTAATTGTTGTTAAATACCGAGGAACTTTAGTTATATTGTTAAATGAATACAATAAATACGTAAACGATTAATCAAATCAATAGTCAAGTGTAACGCTTATATACATTAAACGGCGTGCAAGTTAATTTATTGAACCTTGTCATAATGTAAGTTTATAATAAACTTTTTATAATACGCTGTAAAAATTAATACTCAGATCGCAAAATAATTCGTTAAAATCGTAATCATGGCATTGAATTAGTAACACGACATCGCTGCATATTAACTAGTGAAATATCATTTTTCAATGAAGAAAAACGGTTTCTTATAATTGAAATAACAAAAAGTTATTACAGGACCTGATCACCCTTGCTTAATGACTGTATTCTATTCGTAAACATGTATATTAATCGTTTTCTATATGTAGATAAGCTAGAAGCCTTCTATGGCTAAAATATAGATAATTTCATGTCCTTCCTAATATTCCTATCTTGAATAAATATCTACTTATCAATCTCCTACTTCTAATTACATCATACCCAATACTCCCTTAGAGTTGCAATAGACAGTGTGATATTAGATTATTTTTAACCATGTCCAAGGTCACATAAAGTCTAGAAACAATACGGTGTTATATGTACAACGTGTGAGCTCTTTTCTGTCTATATACATAATGACATTTAATTTTTTTATTTGATTTTAATTTGATAATTTACGATTGTTTTGTAATTTTAAATTATATTAAAATTTTACGAAATTAATTTTTTAGGTGTACTGTTTAAAAATATTCTTTTTTAGTATTGCAACTTAAATTTAATTAAAACAGCCTTTTATGTTTTATGTAATATAGACGAAAACAGACAATGAAACGGTGGTAGACAGTGCCTCTTTTTAAATAAGTACTGTTAAAATAAAATAGCTCTCTTATTATGTGGGTCAGTGGATATCAACTCTGTTGGTAGATTGCGGTCACAGAATTATATAAAAACAAATAGATTTTACATTGAGTACCTGCTATATTAATTCTTGTTTATATTATATTTTTCCCCCTGGACTTATTACCTAATATTGTCTAGGTTAAAATTAAACAGAGCTTGTACTATGGATACTAGGAAAGTAGTAAAATAAATATATATAGATACATGCATTTATTACATAAAAAACTTCTAAATAAAATAAAGAAAATAATTTTACAATAAATTATTGTATTGTGCGAAAATCGATTCCGTAAACAGTATATTTATAAATAACCTCAGTCATTTGATAGTTGATTTTTGCTCCTAATTGTTTAAATATAGCATTAAAGTTTCACTTAAAGGAAGTAAAAAAAGCGCTCCAACCTGCTGTTTTACTAAATATACCTCATCAGAAATAATAGCATTGGCCTTTTCAAGAATATTATCCAGGTGGGGGTCTAGTCCCTTAAAAAATACATAAATAAAAATACTTTTATAATATCTTTGATCATAGTTGAAAGCTCTACTCTTGATCTTAGGGCGAATACTAGACAATTCTGGGGTAGGCATGGTCCCCTTATATACGTCTATAAATCATAGTCAATGTTAACTACTTTGTTAATCCTAATAGGTATATAATGAATATAATTTTTGTTAAACGTCATGTCAGTTAAATTTATTACAATAACATTTATGCAATTAAACTAGAACTAAAAATAAACTATGGAATGTGGTAATTTCTTAGGCACAAAACATTTAAACTATACCCTGGTATCATATATAAGAAGAGCAATGTCTTCCACATAATACTTATTCATGCTACTTTGTTCGCTTCAATGTTTAGAATCGTACAAGCTCAAGAAAGTTTATAAAAACAATAATTCGTACTTTAAAATGTTTTATCAAAGAAAAAAATAACTGCCAAAAACGAGCTTAATGAATAACTAGCGGTACTGATTGTTTTAAAATTTCGCTAAATAAAAGGACGAACTTGGGGTTGTGAATAGCTAACCGAATTTATTAAGAGAGTGATAACCACAAAGGTACCCATCACTAGTCTAAACGGGTATCCTAATTAGTTATTGAATCAAAGATCTCGACGTTCCTCAAATTTATTCGATTGTGTATTCGATGTTTTAACATATACGTTAGTCGAGTGTTGTACGTTTATGTGTAAACGATATAAATATTATTATGTATAAATATACGAGATGTTACACACTTTTGTGTTTTTTATTGAGTATAATTAGTACACTTGAAACTGTATTGGCGCATCACCTACATAGAAATAATTATGGTTCGCTCAATTGATTTTCAAAACTAAAGTAAGCAATATAGCCCGAAAGATAAGCAATCTGTAGTGGCAAGGAGCTTGTCACTTAGCTTGAAAATCCGACAACAGATAGGGAGAAAGGTTTTCGAATGGCGGCTCAGTATTGGCGTGAATTTACTGGGTACAGAGGAATAATACCTGGGTCCTCAGGAATGGCAACGTATGGGGGGTATCATGGGCGAAACAGTATACTCTGTTATGTCCATGGTACTGCTAATGTTTATAGGCAACGGTTACCACTTTCCATCAGGTGGGCCGTCAGGTGTTTGCCATTCTAAGTTGTATAAATAATAAAAAAAAAATTGTAGAACGATCCCCATTAGATAGAATAACAACCTTAAATACATTGCAGAGAGTCAGTGAATGCAGGTGGCGCCTTCTTCAGGACCGTTCCTTATGGTAGTCTATAGTAAAGGGCTATATTCAGCAGTGGATAAATATCAGCTGTAAACCACAACTCAATTTGTCTTAATAAAAATAAACTAAAAAAATAATGTACTAACCTGAGTTAAATATTATATTTATTTATATTAAGTTCAACATAATACATTCTAAATGTATATAATAAATATGTTTACAAATTTTTATTAGAAGAATAATAAAAAAATAAATATAATAAAAAAAGACCTTACGTCGATAGAGTATCTTCTGTAACGTATAGACCCAAAAGGAATTTTATAATGATTAAAAAAAAAACAAAAATAAATTAACTATAATAAAACTGTTATAAAACAAATATTCATTTAACGATAAGTGATATGAGTACTACACTAGCACAACTGCATTGCTGTCAGTAGCTGTCATTCAATGCCGGTCGTTGAAGCTTCCGTCATTCAATGAGAATGTGGCTACTCACTCGCTCACTACGTATGTACGTATTGAAAACAATATCATTGTGTGTGATTCAGTTCACCTGTTCAGTTTATAAGTTACTCTCGAAGGGAGAGTTTGTTTCTTTTATTTAGAATTGTGACCGTAAAACATTGTTGATTTTTTTCTATTTATTAAATTTTGAATACGTTGATTGTTGTTACATTGTGTTGTCTGAAATATAATGGATAATAAAATGTACTTTGGAGGCGTGGAAGGGTGAGTAAAATTGATAGATGCTTGATACAATTTATTGAATAATTTCCGTATACAAAACGTAGGTTATGTACGTACGTCGAAAGTTGAAAGGTTTGCCTTGAGTTCTGAATTCCCATTTGTTTCGAAACGATTAAAAATAAAAGAATTCATATTTTGAAATAATGACAATAAATTAAATTAAATAGCTTATTAATAAATTGATTTCTTATTGTTGTTGTGGTCGTCGTTTTATTAATTAATTAATAGTTTAAATTATCCATTTTAATCTTTATTTGATGTGTTATTAATTAGATCTGTGATTTACAATTGAGATGTTTTTCTTGTTTGAATTTATCAAATAATATTTTTTTATTTATCAAATAAATAAGTACTATCTATATATGTATATATACAACTTAGAATGGCAAACAAGCTTACGGCCCACCTGATGGAAAGTGGTAACCGTCGCCTATAGACATGAGCAGTACCATGGATATAACAGAGTATACTGTTTCGCTCATGATACCCTCCATGCGTTGCCATTCCTGAGGACTCAGGTGTTATTCCTCTGTACCCAGTAAATTCACGCCATATCCCAACCTTCAAACTGAAACACAGCCATGCAAACACAACTGCTTCACGGTTGAAACACGAATGGGACAGAGGTACCCAAGCAATCGATTTTGTACAAAGTCTCCCTCCGGTAAATATATGTTAATGGATGTTAATGTAATGGTAACCCCGCTTGCACTATCGGTATACGCTGGCGGGGTACCAGTGAGAGATGATAGGTGAGAATGAAAAGGCAGGTCACGTAGCCCATCATGGCAAATTTAAAGATAAACAAGTAATAGTAGTTTCCGAGGGAAACCGCGTGGACCTGATGATTGATAGCAATGAGAACTAACTTCCCCATTACTAACAATCCCTTCCTCCTAAATATATTTATTCGTTTATGTATGTAATTTTAGTATGTATGTATATCAATAATTACTAGTACCGCATTCGAGTATTCTGACACTTCCCTATGGTTGACTGGGAGAGAATGCTTTTAGCATTAAGTCCGCCATGTACACATATATGTACTAATGAATAAATAAATAAATAAATTCAATTATCTAAGTATATTTTAAAATTGAAACAAGAAACAGTTGTCAATTGTACTGATGGATGACAATGGAATGGTAACCCCGCCTGGGCTAACGGTATACACTGGGGGGGAAAGGGATTGTTAGTAATGAAGTTTGACAGCCCCATTGCTAGTAATATACCCTAATAGTCGACCTCCGCGTGGTTCCCCTTGGAAATCATCGTGAACAATAGAGCGAGCGGTGCGATAATAAAAGATGGCTGGTAGGTAGCTCACAGACAGGGTTATAATTCCATTTCCATCCAATAAAGCCTATGACCATCCCGTTAAGGATTATAGTCGTGATGATAATTATTTTATAACGTACACAGAATTACAAATGCACGTGCCCACGTAGGTTTACATCGACCAATCAGAAAGCTGAAAACATACGGCTCGACTGACACACCTGTTGCAAGTTGAATCATTCAAATATATATTGTATTGTTGTGGAAATACAGTACATTTTAAATAGCACGTGTTTGTGGAATTTAAAAAATTTCACGCGTAAGTTGTTGACCGTGAACGAATGCAGTGAATGCCAGAAGAATAATAAAATGCATATCTAATTTTATTATTGGCCGCTTGGCTTGTTATGGTGTTATGTTTTAAACTTTTTCTATCTTGGACAAAGACTAAAAATCGTCTTTCGAATCGATTTTAATGGATGATAATGGAATGGTAATCCCGCCTGCGCTAACAGTATACGCTGGCGGGGCACCAGTGATGGATGATAAGTGAGGATAAAAAGGCAAGCCAGTTAGCCCATCGTGACGAATTCAACGATAAATTAGTCACGATGCTTTCCAAGGGGAACTGCGTGGAGGTCGACCTGATAGAGTATATTGATAGCAATGGGGACTAACCTCCCCACTGGAGACCTGGGGACTTAACATGAAATCAAATTCTCAATGGACTCAGTTTCGTATTTTTGTTTATAGCGAAATTGGCACAGTAAAACGACCCTAACATTTCGTAGGACATAAATCCTACCATAAAGGTTAAGTGTAACGTTATTTTAATATTATCAAATGATATGTATTACTATGTAATTTTAACACGTAATTTCGAAAAAATTTTTCATGGTACGCCAGTTTCTAAAAATCTATACAAATACACAAAAATAATGAAATACACGAAAATAACGAATGATGTCTATGTTTTACATATATGTATATGACGGAGATAACCAGTATAAACTCCAGAGATATTGCATACATACATACATATATACGTCTCGCCTATTTCCCATTGTGGTAGGCAGAAACAATGGAACACCGAGTGCTCTGATTCACAGAGACCTCTGTCGCTTCCTCCACAGTCTAATCTATACACGCAAATCAGTTACAGGTATTTTTAATTTTTAATGTATCAAAGATAAAGTAACAAATTTTAATTATTTTTATATATTTTACTCTTATTTTATATGTAAATTAGTTAAAATTACACGTGTAATGGAAAAAAAAACCTAAAATATATTACTTTTTTTCGACATATGTGGGTATCTTTAGAAAAACATACAATTATACGGTATACTGAATTTTATTAATACGACAATTGATTGCCTCGTAATGTATGTGAAACTGGACATATTTCCATAGGGAACATGCACAGGTATATGATAAGGGAGTTTGACGCTGTCGGAATGTTTGTCTATGTATTTTCCCGTTCAATCTTAGGTGTGGCATATTGCTTTGAGCTTTGGAAAATCCCCTAATTGTTGATGTTTTTCCTGGAATAGGCATCAAGAAAATACATATTAGACACAGAATAACATACAGAATTTTACACATTGAATTTCACATATAATTTTACACACTGAATTTTACTGAGCTGTATGCTTGATTGCCACTGTGGTGGCAATCAAGCATACGGCCCACCAGATGGTAGGCAGTTACCGTAGCCTATGAACGCCTGCTGTATCAGGGGTATAACGCGCGCGTTGCCGACCTCGAAGAAACCTCTTTATTCCTTTTTTAAAGAACGCTATGCTCTAGTCTCTTGGATAAATTTCGCCAGTGACTTTTTTTTTATACAACTTAGAATGGCAAACATGCCGACGATCCATCTGATGGAAAGTGGTAATGATAATCCCCCCCCCCCCCCCCCCGTGCGTTGCTATTCCTGAGGACTCAGGACCTGAGGACAGGTTTTATTTCTCTGTACCCTGTAAATTCACTGCCATATTCCACCCTTCAAACCCAAACACAATAATGCAAACACAACTGCTTCACGGTTAAAACACGAATGGGATAGAGGTGCCCAAGCAAACGATTTTTGTACAGACTCTCTTTGATGAAAAACTTGTATATATATATATATAATTCTGTATAGTTTTTTAGAATTGATAAGTTTAGGTATCCCCCTTCAATAAAATGCACGTTTTACCGTCTATCACCCGCATTCTGATAAAAGATACGTGCAAATTGATAGCTCGCCAATATTGTTAAGGCATTGAAACCGGTTTTCAAGTACGAAATTAACTGATTACCTTGCAGTTTTATTCATTGGTATTGTGAATAAAAAATTCCTAACTTATCGTGGCTTAGTTTTTAAGTATGTCATTTCAGATATAAAATAGTCAGTTCATTGTTCTCACGCAAAGAAAAACGGAGTCCTAATTAAAGATCTCACTGCACGACCATCTTATATTCGTTCTATATTTACCAGAGGGAGACTTTGTACAAAAATCGTTTGCTTAGGCACCTCTGTCCCATTCGTGTTTCTACCGTGAAGCAGTGTGTTTGCATGACTGTGTTTCAGTTTGAAGGGTAGGATATGGCAGTGAATTTACAGGGTACAGAGACATAACACCTGAAACCTAAGGAATGGCAACGCATGGGGGGTATCATGGGCGAAACCGTATACTCTGTTATGTCCATGGTACTGCTTATGTCTATAGGCGACTGTTACCACTTTCCATCAGGTGGGCCGTCAGCTTGTTTCTCGTTGTAAGTTGCATAAAAAATATATAATTTAGACATCGATAAAATTATTTACACTCACTAATATGTAATGGAATAATAAAAAAAGAATTCTTTTTTAACTGTAAATAAAAGAGACACAAGACATGAAGTAAAAATATTTGCCCACTGTATGTAAACATTGTGAAGTACATACAAACAATAGTCAGAAAGGCATAATTAATTTGTTATCATGAAAACGTTATCGGTCTGTTAATATTGAGTGTGGATGAGTGAACGTCAAGTACTTTATCGCTAGAGTTGCCAGATGCGAGTTTATATTTTTACCCAAATATGTCAAATATTTTTTCTCCAATTTTTATATGATTTCCCCCACTTTTACTTAATCATAAACTTGTGTCGGTGTTCACCACGTTTTGCCATGTCATAGCCAAGTGAACGCCGAAACTCCCATCTCTATGTCTAACTACTTCACCTCACGTTGCTACCGTCATTGGTACTTTTTGTATTCACTGTTTAATGTAGGCTTTCCACATAAGGAAAGTTTTGCCAGTATTTGCCACGCTTGGTGGGCGGATTGGCAATTGCATTTAGGCTTTGGTAATGTTTTAAGAGGGACGCTGTTGCCCATCTTTCGACCTTAATGGTCGATTGCCTTAGTCATCTCTTACGACACCCACGGAAAAGGAAGGAGTGGCCCAGTCTATGCTACCATACGGCGTTCGTTTGTATATTTTATTAAATTCCCAATATACCCAATATTGCTAGCAATGGGATTCTCAGTCTCTATTACTAACAATCCCTTTCCCCTCGCCCGTAAAAGATCAACTTTAACAATAAAGCTACCATATTGTTTTCTGTGTATATCTTTTTATTGTAATCTCTGTTTACTGGGGGGGAAAGGGATTGTCAGTAATGGAGACTTAGATTCCCATTGTTAGCAATATACCCAACCAATATCGACCTCCTCGCGGTTCCCTCTTGGAAACTATCATGGTTATTTCCTGATGAATTCATTATGATGGGCTAACTGGCCTGTTCATTCTCGTCGATCACTCTTCACTGGTGCTCCGCCAGCATATCCCGTTAGCGCAGGCAGGGTCGCCATTCCATTTTCACCCATAAAAAACTCTGTTTACTCAATGCCCTACCATCATATACTTTACCATCGTACTTAATCATTCTAAAGATCTAATCTTATTTACCGCAGTGGTGCAACACACTCAAACATGGTCATCTGTGACAACACAGGCCGAGTGGTCGGCAGAGCGGAGGGACCTGGCACCAACCAGTGGGCTCTCGGCATGGAGGAGTGCACCAAAAGGATTATCGCCATGGTCCAGGCGGCGAGAGAGGACGCCGGGATACCGAATGACAGGATACTCGATTCTTTGGTTTGTAGTTTCATCATCAGCATCCTCATATCAGCGGATCGGGGCTATTCTTTATGGTGGTTTACCATTGGGGAGATTTTGCTAGTAGTTACCACGCTTGGCAGGCGGATTGGGAGCAGCAGTTTGGCTTGGTGATTTTTTAAGAGGGACGCTGCTGCCTATCAGTATGCTGCCGATCATTAAGTTCCCTTAGTCACCTCTTATGACACCCACGGGAACGGAAGGTATGCGGCAATAGTATTTTCACTTTACTATATTCATTTTAGTTTATTGTTAATGAAATCTTCCAGTATAAACGATTGATGCAACTGTATACAAAAACTTCACATTATAACATTAAAAAAGAAGGGAAATAATCTCGATTCGGATGTATTTTTTGTTCCTACCTAAAGCCTACGTCAGCGGGTCTACCATGAAATGAAATTCCGAAATTTCGGACTCAATTTCGTGTTTTTGTTTATACCAAGATCGGACCAAAAATGGAGTTTAACATTTCGTTTGTCATACATCCTATCATAAAAGTCTAAAGGACAACATTTTAACATTTGTAATATTTCCAAACGGCAAGTATTATATAATTTTAACAACAAATTTGTGTTTCGTTTGGTTCCGAAATTTTGGAAAACATTTTGGAAAATCTTCAGATTGATTCTATGGAAATTTTATCACAATCAGTTTAATAATTTGGTTTTCAATTCATAATAACTAGTTTTGACCTCAATTATGGTACAAAGTCTTAAATTATGTAAAGTAAATGTAATTAGAATTCTTGTTTAACCAATTGTAAAGATTAAAATCTTACCACCAATTTCCATGCTCCAGTAAATACTATTCAATGGCACACAAATGTTATTAACAACAATTTAGCTGTCCATTACGTTGCTCCTTTTCCTCCCCAAGTCATAAGAATTAAGTTCATACTTCCTCTTATTTAGAGAACTACACACCTAAATCTTATGAGAAAAGCCATATGCACAGAAGTAGATCGCAATAGAATCAATAGGCAGTTATTGTTATTTATTCATGATCATTTTATACCCAGGGTCTGACACTCTCCGGCTGTGGTCCAGAAAGCAGCAACTCAGAATTAGCTGCGAGGGTGAAGGAGAAAGACAGCAAAATCGGCATCATATACGTCGGATCTGACACTGAGGGCTCACTGTTTACCGGCGCCCCAGAAGGGGGGATGGTGCTGATTGCTGGTAAGTACCTACATATTACGTGATTAGGTTCATTTTCGATAGCTATATAGTTCAGTCAATAAATGCTTGAATGTTATCTAGGAGTTTCAGGACAGAATTCTGAAATTGAATTGTTTAACGATTAATTCTGAATTATTATCACTTGCTCTGTGCTTTTCCAGGCATTGTCAAGCCATTGTCCGATAAGCTACGGTAGAGGACTTTGTATACAATAGCTTACATCAAAGACAACCTAGATTCGGCGCTTGTTTGTGTAATTTATGTATGATTGTATTAGTTTTCTGTTTTAGACTAAATTAAAGAGGATGGCAGAGTTCCTCTAAACTTTGCAATGTCTAAATAGTTATCTTCATACTATACCTCAGAGATTACATCCAACTCTTATTATTTAGATCAAATGCATAAGAGAATACTTCAGAGAACCCACCATGAAATGTTTTCCGAAATTTCGGGGCCGAACGAAACACAAATTTGATGTTAAAATCACATAATACGTACCGTTCAAAAAATTTAAAAATGGTTAAATATAGTTCCTTTGGACTTTTATGGTAGGATTCATGACGAACGTAAAGTTAAGCTCCACTTACTGGGTCGATTTCAGTGTAAACAAAAACACGAAATCGAGTCCGAAAATTCGGAATTTCATTTCTTGATAGACCCCCTGAGTCGGTAATGCGCGTGTAAAGCTACTGGTTTTGCAGGCATTCCTGGACTACAGTAACCATCCATTATAAACCGAGTTGAATTCTGGCTTGCTATTTTTGTTTCAAAAATTAAGTCGTTTTCTTATTCTTGAGTCTATCTAAACTGAACACATGCATTGTAGATTCATGGTAAAAGTAACCTTATGATTTCCATTCTCTCTTTTTCTATTTCATATGTGTTTATGTATAAAAGATTGGCATCTTTCATGAATATACACGAGTGAAACGACATTGACATTAGAGTGTATTTCACGATGCCCATGGTGCAGTCTATGTTTATAAGTGACGGTTACCACTTCCGAATCAGGTGAGCCATTGGCTTCTTAACATTCTAAGTTGCATAAAAATCTGTATAACCATTCAGTATGTTAAGAGTGCAGAATTGAAGAAATTGGTAAAATGGTACTTGCATAAAATGCTATACAAATATGATATCAAATATCTTCACCAGAGACAGACTTCGTACAAAAGTCGTTTGCTTGGTGCTCAACCTCTGTCCCATTCGTGTTTCTACCGTGAAGCAGTTGTGTTTGCATGGCTGTGTTTCAGTTCGAAGGGTGAGATATGGCGTGAATTTACTAGGGACAGAGTAATAACTCCTGAGTCCTCAGGAATGGCAACGCATGGGGGGGTGTCATGAGCGAAAAAATACACTCTGTTTTATCCACGCTATTGCTTATGTCTATAGGCGACGTTTAACACTTTCCATTAGACGGGCCGTCAGCTTGTTTGCCATTTTAAGTTGCATAAAAAAAAAGATACTCGCATTGTTTTAACTTCGACATTGACATTGACTATTTATAGTTAGACTGCAACTCATTTTATAGGCATTATGTAAGGCAATACGTGACTCTGTTATCTATGAACCAAATATGTAGAATTTAAAACTAAGTAAATTGTTATGGTTTTGTTTAAATAAGCATTAATTTACTTATTACCTGTATATTATGCATTTTATTTAAATGAAACAAGTATGAAAGATGTTTATATACAGAGGAATAACACCTGAGTCCTCAGGAATGGCAACGCATGGGGGGGTATCATGGGCGAAACAGTATACTCTGTTATGTCCATGGTACTGCTCATGTATATAGGCGACGGTTACCACTTTCCATCAGGTGGACCGTCAGTTTGTTTGCCATTCTAAGTTGTATAAAAAATAATGTAATGGGAAATTAATTAATTGACTGTGTTTTTGTCATTTTCAACAATTGTTTCGACTGCATTCGGAAGTCTTCAGGGGACGTTTGGCGCTTTGCGTCATAGCGTCTCACCTTGGATTGAAAATTGTTTTAAAAAATAAAAATAATAAGTATGACAGACTGTATTGTTTTTAATACACCTGTATTTACTTTATTGCAGTACCATGTAAGGATGATAGGCGAGACTTTGTAATATAATGTAGAATCTAAATACAGTTTAACATTTGCATACCTCTGCAAGGTGCTGCATGCTATGTACCTACTTATATATGTAACTTCTTATTGTACCATGTAACAAGCGAATAAATATGATTTGATTTGACTTGAGGAAGAAATCAATTTAGTCGTTAGAATTGGGTAAGTTCCTAACAATCGGACAATTTTTCTCTGTTACTTATAACGCCTATCTTCCCGGGAAATGAACTTTGAATCTACATACCGCAGACTGATCGCTATAGGGGTTGATGGGAGGAAAGGAGAATAAATATTAACTTTCTGGGGGGAAAGGGATTGTTAGTACTGTCTATTGCTGGCAATATACCCAACCAGGTCGACCTCCTCGCGGTTCCCCCTGGAAACTATCATGGTTAACTCCTGATGAATTCATCATGATGGGCTAACTGGCCTGTTTTCATTCTCATCTATCACCCTTCACTGGTGCTCTGCCAGCGTATCCCGTTAGCGCAGGCAGGGTTACCATACCATTTACACCCATCAAAAAAAAAAAAATTACTTTCTTTTATTCTTTTAATGCTATCCTATTTTCTTTGGGGGAAAAGTTCTTAGAAGTCTATTTTATCGTAAGGTCTAACTAAGTCTCTCTGGAGGGGAGGATTATTAGTAATGGGGTCTAACAGCCTTATTGCTAGCAATATATTCTATCTGGTCGACCTCCACCTGGTTCCCCCTGGATCATGGTTAATTCTTGTGGATTCATCACGATGGGCTAACTGACCTGCTTTCATCCTCACCTATAATCCATCACTAGTGCCCCGCCAGTGTATACCGATAGTACAAGCTGGGTTACTATTTCATTTTCACCTATTAAAAGAACTAAATCTCTCTATGACAACATGGTGCAAGTCGCATGCAAAGCTTATAGTGAACTACATATGAGCATATCAGTCTTCCATTTATTGCATCCATGATATCTTAAGGGCAAATGTCGTACAGTGTCCTGTATTAAAAGCGAAATGGGGGGACAGATAAACTGACACTCGTCATATCATATTGTGATACTTTATTTATCTGTAACGTTTAATAATAGACTTCCTCTTCCATTTGGATTGATTCTTTTTTATTTTTTAAGTTACCGTTTTTCTATTAGTCGGGCCGTTATTTTCTTTAAAAATAAAATAAATAAAAATAAAAAAAAAATAGTAAAATTAAACTTAATTAATAGCATTTTTGAATAGTCATTTTTTTATAAACTACCGTTCAGTTCGGAATGCAATTTTAACTGAAAAGAATGGAATGTTTCTTACACAGCTGTTGCTTTTTTCAAATAAGTTGAGTGTAGAACAAAATAATAAGAAAACTTATCGATTGATTTTTTAAGAAACTTGTAAAAAAATAAAAGTTACATTAAAAATATTAAAATACTTTAAACCGAGGCACGCAGTCAGGCTCATGCTCGCGTCACAGTCGCTCACGACTAAGGATCACGAATTGATTCCAAAACTAATCGTGCTTTTTCGATCGAATTACACGTAAGTTATTACATTAAAATGTTAGTGGTCTAACCAATAAATCTAAGGGGGAAAGGGATTGTTAGCAATAGAGTTTGACAGCCCCATTGCTAGCAATATACCCTATTAGGTCGACCTCCACGTAGTTCCCCCTGGAAACCATCGTGAACAATTCTTGTTGAATTCATCACGATGGGCTAACTGACCTGCTTCATCCTCACCTATCATCCATCACTGGTGCCCGCCGGTGTATACCGATAGCGCGGGTGGGGTTGCCATTACATTATCACCCACTAAAAAAGAAACAATAAATCTAAGTAAGTATTTATACGAGAACGTCTGAGTACTGTTTAGGCGCTTAGATGAAGTATGATGGTAAAATGTTACCGTTAGTAGGAAGCGGATAGGCCCTGACCTCAATACAAACGGGGCTCGGTCCAATGACTCTTAGACCACTCGATGACGTTTTAATAATCAATGCAGTACAATGACCAAATGTTGTTTATACAAGCTTTTGTCAATTTAATTTCGTCGCTTCTTTACTGTTGTTCTGTTTGCTTTTAAAACATATACTCGTAATCACTCTATATACATATGTAATGGGAAATTAATGCATTCATATGTACTTATTTATTATTAATATTATATAGTACAATAGATAGATAGATAGATAATTTATTTGCATTAATTACAGCATACAAATAACAATACAAACATACACATAATAGAGATATGCACAGTAAAAAGAAATAAAAGAATGAAAAACAAAAAAGCAAAAAAAAATATATATATAAAACACCAATTTCCTTCTGTCATGCATGTGCCATAGTAACGCAAAATGGTCACAACTCAACAGCAATATTAATACATATATATATATATATATATATATATATATATATATATATATATATATATATATATATATATATATATCTTTTATTTTACAATTTTATAAATATGTTATTTATTGTATGAACGCATTTGTAAATTTACGTGTTTAAATGACTCAAATAAAATGCTTATCTATATATATATATATATATATATATATATATATATATATATATATATATATATATATATATATATTTCTCTCATTTTCGACAAAAATTTTTTTGACACATAGATCCTATGTGTTAACCTCACATCCTCTTAACTACTCTTAAACAAAAGACGGTTAAACATTTCATTTCATATAAAAATTTGAAAATTATTAAATTTAAGAAAAACGATACTCATAGATAAGTTCAATTGACATATTGTAAAAGAAGATTGTATAGAATAAATATGTCAGATATATAAAATGGCAAACAAGCTGACGGCCCACCTGATGGAAAGTGGTAACCGTCGCTTATAGACATGAGCAGTACCATGGACATAACAGAGTATACTGTTTCGCCCAT